CTGTGCTGAGGAGAGCTGTGGATCCACTTGGTGCACCTGAACTAGCCAACACCACCCTGGGGCTGGCCCTGTGCGGAGATGTGCAGGTCGGGCAGTGCCAGCATCATTAGCAGGGCAGCACCAGCCACTGCACATATGCAAAGCAGACCCAGAACTCCACTCAGCACAGCCACCAAACCGGAGCATCCACTGTGGGGTTAGCTGTGTCATTAAGCCCTCCCAGGGAATCCATTGTTTGCTTTGCCATGCATGCCAGGAGCGGATGCCAGGCCTATTAAATCCCATTAGGAGTAAACATGCATAGGATTGCACTTCATGCTAAAGTCTATGGCGCTGCATTGATTGATTGATTGATTGATTGATTGATTGATTGACTGACAGGCAGACATGGAAGAGGAGCCACAGAAGAAACCTTTCGAATTTAGGAGAGATTGGATTATAGTTTCTCTGTGCCTATAAAATCAACGTGCATGGATTGTTAGTGTGCAGGACAGCAGGCCTTGGACAGCAGGTGACACGTGTGCTTGCACAAAACAGGTTATAAACATACTTAGTGTGGCTGACACTGACACTGGCATCTCTCTTGCACATCCTCAGATGAGAAAGAAGCCAACCAGCCCTGTTTTATGGCTACAAATAATAACCCCTCACAATGTCCACAGTGCACCGTCACTACCATCCAAAGGGCTGGGCAAGCATTCTGTTGCATTGCTCCTCCTAGGAATTATAATTTGGTTTCACATGCCCTGCACTTACCCAGCAGCAGCACCTATGCTAAAGAGCTGCTTGAACATTCCCTGCTGCCACCAAACTAAGGATGGAATTATCTCAATGTCAAGTTTATCCGCAATATTTCCCCCCCTAATTCCTGCCTCACTCGTTCTCAATGAGAAGTTTACTGATTCTATTAAAAACACAAACAATTCTTGCACAGTCTACACACACACACACACACAAATAATATTACTAGGGGCTGCCAACCCGGCTTGCTCTATTCACCAACCCACCAATCCCTTTGCCAACCCTCTTCCCCCACACCCAGCCAACCCCTTCTCGTTTCCCAACTGGGTAGGCAAATGAGCAGGGTGGGGCTAGATGTGTTTGATTTGCCAAGATGCTATAAACTATATTAACATACCCGCCTACATTTCTCTGATGAAAATAGGGGCATCCTATTCAACAATAACAGTAATAGTAATAATAATGTATTTCCAACATATATATAAATATAATAAAACATTAAACATGAAAACAATTCCTTGTAAAGGACTGCCTTCAGATGTCTTCTAAAGATTTTATAGCTACTTGTCTCCTTGGCCCAGGGGTTGCATAACTCCATACCTTCCATTGTTTCTCCAATGAAAAAGCCACTTCCGCAATAAACAAGGAAGTGGGGTTGCGGGTGTCACACCCCTTCCCCACATTTGCGGGGGCTGGCTCCAGCCCCCGCGCTACCTAAGGGAATCCCCGCCCGTGTCATACCCCGGACCAGCCAATCGGCTGGCTCCGGGGGCGGGGCCTCGGCTATTTAAACCTGCTGCAGCCGAGGCTCCTCCTCTTTTCCTCCGCTGCTACAGCTGACCCGGTTTTCCCGCCCATCCCACCCTTTTAGGATAGGTTCTCTGACGTTGCTATGAACTCCGGTTGGTCGCCGTCAAGGGGCGTGGTAGGAATTTTCCCAAATGGCAGATTGGCTCCAGCCATTTGGTTTTCGCCTACCTCGTAGCAAACCGTCACAACTCCTCGGTATTGGCGGTTAGGCATTGGTAGGGGTACTGTCCTATTGTTATGCAAATGAAGGGGGAAGGAGCGCCATCACCTTCCCCCAAGCAAGGGTAGTCCGGTAAAGGATTCTGGGGGGCGTGGCCTTGTCCTAAGCCTAAGGAGGTGTGGGCCCACAGCACGCCCCCACGCGGTGATGCCCGGGGGAGGTCCTAGTTGACGTGCCTCAGCAGGACTCCTCCCTCTGGTGATTAACGCTTCTGGCCTCTAGCCGGTTAGTAGTTAGGACCAATGCCTAAGCCAATACCGCTCAATTCCTGTAATCAATAAAGTTGTGGCCTAATTTGACCCACTAACCTGAATTCTTGTGTCCTGTGTCTTTATTTCCTCGGGGGGAGGCGGGAACTTGCCACGCAATAGGAATAGCCTACCATACCCTCCAACATTTCACCAATTAAAATAGGGATGTCCTAAGGGAAAACAAAACATTCCAGGATAAAATCAAAAGCTGAGACAGCTTCTGTAAATCCAGGGCTGTGCCTGGAAAATAGGGACACTTGGAGAGTCTATATTAATGTCAACAGAGAATTGCCAACATGTTTATCTCCCGCCACCCATTTATCTTCAGCATAATAGGGGCATCTCTTATGTAAGTTATCATTTTGTAATAAACCCTGTTGGAAATTACCTTCCAACCTTTCAGTAGCATGACTCAACAGAAGTTACATGTTTAGAGTGTGAGGTTAAAAGCCTCTGTGTACTTAAGTAGGCTTCAAGTGAGGTTGTCAGTCTGTAATAACCCCTCTTAATAAACAACCAGTGCAATGGCCAGGGAACTGTTGCCTAGGGACTTGGTGCAGGTACCACTCCAACCAGCTAGCTCCTCACACACAAAGTGGCTCAGAAGAGTGACGCATGCAAGGGAACGCAGGTCCCTGCCTGCAATTAGAAAAAGTGGCGGCTTGCCATTTTCCTGTTCAAAAAGAGAGGGAGCAAAGCACATTACTACTACATAAGTAGGCTGTTCAGATGAGCGGATAGTTATGCAGACAAAGCTTGCTGCAGTAACATCTGTCCTGGCAGTATTATTACTATTATTATTATTATTATTATTATTATTATTAAACTAATAGCCACTCTTTGATTTTTACAGTTCTCCTGCCGTTGCTTATTGCTTGTTCTTATTAACCGGGCTGCATTAAACAACTGTCACTTTTTTTGCATTATTGTATTCTGTGCATTGTTGGAAACCATCCTAGAATCACATAAATGTCTAAAAAACTGGACAGATAAATAAACTGTCTTAGAGCCCACGTCCTGGAAGTGGCATTGATGGTGGTGGGATAAGAGGAACTGCAAAGAAATGGAGCGGCCGGGCAGAAGCGCTCCCAGAAACATGCCGCTGCGCCCCTCAGACGCAGACCGGCGGCAGCCAGAAGAGATCAGGGGCGCCGGCTCCGCCATGGCCTAGCAGTGCGATGTGGTGGAGTGTCTCTACTGCGACAAGGTCTCCAAGTACGAGAAGCTGGCCAAGATTGGGCAAGGCACCTTCGGGGAGGTCTTCAATGCAAAACATTGTCAAACAGGCAAAGTTGCATTGAAAAAAGTGGTGCCATTTAGTACTTTGCAGCAGAAGTCCAAGGCCTCACCAAGTGCAGGCAGGGCTCCCCAATGCAGCCAGGCTGGCCAGCTGACACAGTTTGTGTGACTGTGACACATTTGGCTTCTGAAACTTCTATTACAGTGGTACCTCAGGTTAAGTACTTAATTCGTTCCGGAGGTCCGTTCGTAACCTGAAACTGTTCTTAACCTGAAGCACCACTTTAGCCAATGGGGCCTCCCACTGCTGCCGCGCCGTCGGAGCACAATTTCTGTTCTCATCCTGAAGCAAAGTTCTTAACCTGAAGCACTATTTCTGGGTTAGCAGAGTCTGTAACCTGAAGCGTATGTAACCCGAGGTACCACTGTATAATGAAAACCAGATGCTGAGCCAGTGAAAGGGTATTGACTACCAGGAGTAGGTATTGGGCTTAATCTGTGCATGATTTGGAATTTGCATCTATTTAGCTTAGGGACTGCCTCCATCCATACTTTACGCACCACAGGAGGAACAGCAGTGTGGTGTTAACAAGACAGGTATGGTATGTCATCCTATAAGCAGCCTGCAGAAGGACATTCTCTTCAGAGGACTCCAAGCTTGACTCAGGTTATGAAACGTTTAGTTTATGCAGGCATTCAGGGGATGCATCCCTAGGGATTTTTATGGTTTTAAGCTTGCAGTCTTAAGCATGTCTGTGTGTATGTATGCGTTATTAAATCTGTTTATTTTGTACGTGGAGAGCTTTGGGCAATGGGTGCTTTCATTAAAAAAAAAAAAATTCACAATGGGCATAAAACCCTCCCATTGAAATTGATGGGACTGAAAACACCTATTTGAGGCAAATTTTGTACCTCTTTTATAAGACTAATAATCAAATTTATTCCAGTCATTTATAATGTTGATTTAAAAAAAATCAATCAATCAAAATTTCAACATCAAATAAACAGAAACATACAAAATGTTTTTCTTTTCTGGCTTATACATATGCACACAAAGAGAGAAAGAGAAAGAGCGTGAATGAGAGAGAGCAATCAGTTGAAACTGAATTTTATGCATCCCATGTTTGCATATTTTTGTATCATCTACACAACACTGCCCTCATCCAAATGTCAGTCGGTATTTTCTTCCCATTCCTCAGACAGGAAAAATATGTCATTTGTTACCCACAGTCACTGCTGCTGTGGATGTTCCTTAGCACTTTTTTGCAGTGGGTGGTTTGTCGTGTGTGGCGACCAGTTATACTGCTTTCAGTGCTCTCTATTGCCACACCTCCGACTTCCTCACCTGAGCACAATGAAACCGTTTTGTTTCTGTGGCCTACACAATAAGAGTGTGCCTATTTCCACTGGCTGCTGAAGGCATGCTCCCGGTGCACATATATATATTTGTTTTTAATGCACCAGCCTTGCCCAAAACTACATCTGCACAAAACATCAGCATTAAAAATAATATAGAAGCATAGAATTGTAGAGTTGGAAGTGATCCCAATGGCCATGTAGTCCAACCTGCTGCAATGCAGGAATCTCAACACATGGCTCCTCATCCAATTTGAAATCATATTGGACCCTGCTTAGCTTTGCAAATGCGCTAGCTGTTTTGTTGCTGTACCACTAGGAGATAATCTGGACTGTCATCCTCTCTTGGCTCTCACCCAACACACACAGTTAGAGACTCTTACTTGTAACAATACAGGCTCAGCAGCAGACACCGTTCTCAGGAGTCACGATTCAGGAGCAGGACAAGAAGTTCAGAACTGGATGGAAGTGATGAAGATGTCCCAGCAAGTTTTCCCACACCTCCTGCCAAAATTTCAAAGATGAGGCATGGTACACTAACTCACAAGGCTCTCTCTTCTTGTGGGAACATCAGGATTGCAAGTGCGCATTTCCATTGGTGCGGCTGGGTCTGCTCCCGTCTGCAAAGATGGCACCTGGTTCTATGCACACACCCACACACCCTGTTCAGGCTTATGCTCAGTCACTGCCACTTCCTGTTCAGTCCCCGTCTCCCCGTTGGTGATCAAAGCCCTCCCCAGCCTCCACCGATGTTTCCCACTCCACAGAAAGGTTGGAGGGGAAACCCGCCACCCCTGCTCCTCCTTCCAAAGTGACCAAAGTCCGGGAGGAAAGAGGAGGTTCTCCTCTTCTCTCCTCCAACAATTTTGCCTGCCCCACCACCACTGCTTCCTCCTCTTCCATCAGAGCCTGTCAGCCCAAACCTAAGAGCACTGTGGGGCTCAAGACTCAACCTGAATAACAACTATGGCAAGTGGAAAGGGGGAGAGTCCAGGTGACATGAGCTCATGCCACGGACCACTCTCCCCTCCGGTTCTACAATATGCATGAGCATGATAAGTGAGGGAGATTCACTGTGCAGATATGATACATTGATATATGATGTAGCATAGATAGATAGATAGATGATAGATAGATAGATAGATAGATAGATAGATAGATAGATAGATAGATGATAGATAGATAGTTAGATAGTTAGATGATAGATAGATAGATAGATAGATAGATAGATAGATAGATAGATAGATGATAGATAGATAGATGATAGATAGATAGATGATAGATAGATAGAGGAGAGAGACAGATACTCAATATACCAGTTTAGTGCAAATTGCTTCTCTGCAAAAAAAATAAAATAAGTCTGTATTAAAATATTGAGCAAATATTGATCCATCAGGATATGGTCAGGATTCTGTAGCCTTCCACTCACTCAGATCCACTCACGCATCACATTAAATTCAGACTCTTGTGTCTCAAGTCACAAAAAACTCCCTCCCTTCCCTCCTTGACTTACAGCTGTTCATAACACTGGCGATTTCACTTTTTATGTTGGCGAAAGCAGAAACAAAGCAGAAGGAAAAAGACCCCAAAACAGCCACTTGGTTTTTTTATGTGCTTTGGGAGTGAAATGGCCTGGGAATGAGCTTGATAGTAATTTAAGAGAGACTTTGCAGGGGTGAAACATGGCGGGCGGGCAGGCGGGGGAGGGGGGAGAGAACAATATTGGGTCCGTTTTAAACTGCTGTGTAGACAGACCAAGCCTGGATAGATCCCACTGGTGTGGACTGCAAGCAATGCATATAGTGTCTAAAAACCCTGGAGTGTGTGTGTGTGGAAAATTGCAAGCCAATAGTTCACACACATGAAACAATTCTGAACCACCTGTTTGCAAGATTACAAGCATCACTGAAGCTGAAAGAAAGATTGATTCCAACCTGTTTATAAAGCATCTGTCCTGATTTCTTTGTACAAAGGTTGTATATTTGTTGTTTAGTCGTTTAGTCGTGTCCGACTCTTCGTGACCCCATGGACCAGAGCACGCCAGGCACTCCTGTCTTCCACTGCCTCCCGCAGTTTGGTCAGACTCATGCTGGTAGCTTCAAAGACACTATCCAACCATCTCGTCCTCTGTCGTCCCCTTCTCCTTGTGCCCTCCATCTTTCCCAACATCAGGGTCTTTTCCAGGGAGTCTTCTCTTCTCATGAGGTGGCCAAAGTATTGGAGCCTCAGCTTCAGGATCTGTCCTTCCAGTGAGCACTCAGGGCTGATTTCCTTCAGTATGGATAGGTTTGATCTTCTTGCAGTCCATGGGACTCTCAAGAGTCTCCTCCAGCACCATAATTCAAAAGCATCAATTCTTCGGTGATCAGCCTTCTTTATAGTTCAGCTCTCACTTCCATACATCACTACTGGGAAAACCATGGCTTTAACTCTACGGACCTTTGTTGGTAAGGTGATGTCTCTACTTTTTAAGATGCTGTCTAGGTTTGTCATTGCTTTCCTCCCAAGAAGCAGGCGTCTCTTAATTTCGTGGCTGCTGTCACCATCTGCAGTGATCATGGAGCCCAAGAAAGTAAAATCTCTCACTGCCTCCATTTCTTCCCCTTCTATTTGCCAGGAGGTGATGGGACCAGTGGCCATGATCTTTGTTTTTTTGATGTTGAGCTTCAGACCATATTTTGCGCTCTCCTCTTTCACCCTCAATAAAAGGTTCTTTAATTCCTCCTCAGTTTCTGCCATCAAGGTTGTGTCATCTGCATATCTGAAGTTGTTGATATTTCTTCCAGCAATCTTAATTCCGGCTAGGGATTCATCCAGCCCAGCCTTTCGCATGATGAATTCTGCATATAAGTTAAATAAGCAGGGAGACAATATACAGCCTTGCCGTACTCCTTTCCCAATTTTGAACCAATCAGTTGTTCCATATCCAGTTCCAACTGTAGCTTCTTGTCCCACATAGAGATTTCTCAGGAGACAGATGAGGTGATCAGGCACTCCCATTTCTTTAAGAACTTGCCATAGTTTGCTGTGGTCGACACAGTCAAAGGCTTTTGCATAGTCAATGAAGCAGAAGTAGATGTCTTTCTGGAACTCTCTAGCTTTCTCCATAATCCAGCACATGTTTGCAATTTGGTGTCTGGTTCCTCTGCCTCTTCTAAATCCAGCTTGCACTTCTGGGAGTTCTCGGTCCACATACTGCTTGAGCCTTCCTTGTAGAATTTTAAGCATAACCTTGCTAGCTTGTGAAATGAGTGCAATTGTGCGGTAGTTGGAGCATTCTTTAGCACTGCCCTTCTTTGGGATTGGGATGTAGACTGATCTTCTCCAATCCTCTGGCCACTGCTGAGTTTTCCAAACTTGCTGGCATATTGAGTGTAGCACCTTAACAGCATCATCTTTTAAAATTTTAAATAGTTCAGCTGGAATACCATCACTTCCACTGGCCTTGTTATTTGCAGTGCTTTCTAAGGCCCATTTGACTTCACTCTCCAGGATGTCTGGCTCAAGGTCAGCAACCACACTACCTGGGGTGTATGAGACATCCATATCTTTCTGGTATAATTCCTCTGTGTATTCTTGCCACCTCTTCTTGATGTCTTCTGCTTCTGTTAGGTCCTTACCACTTTTGTCCTTTATTATGGTAATCTTTGAACGAAATGTTCCTCTCTGGTTCTTCCCATTCTGTTGTTTTCCTCTATTTCTTTGCATTGCTCGTTTAAGAAGGCCTTCTTGTCTCTCCTTGCTATTTTTTGGAAATCTGCATTCAATTTCCTGTATCTTTCTCTATCTCCCTCGCATTTTGCTTGCCTTCTCTCCCCCGCTATTTGTAAGGCCTCACTGGACAGCCACTTTGCTTTCTTGCATTTCCTTTTCATTGGGATGGTTTTCGTTGCTGCCTCCTGTATAATGTTACGAGCCTCCATCCATAGTTCTTCAGGCACTCTGTCCAGCAAATCTAAATCCTTAAACCTGTTCGTCACTTCCACTGTGTATTCATAAGGGATTTGATTTAGATTGTATCTTACCGACCCAGTGGTTTTTCCTACTTTCTTCAGTTTAAGCTTGACTTTTGCTATAAGAAGCTGATGATCTGAGCCACAGTCAGCTCCAGGTCTTGTTTTTGCTGACTGTACAGAGCTTCTCCATCTTTGGCTGCAGAGAATATAATCAATCTGATTTCGATGCTGCCCATCTGGTGATGTCCATGTGTAGAGTCGTCTCTTGTGTTGTTGGAAAAGAGTGTTTGTGATGACCAGCTTGTTCTCTTGGCAGAACTCTATTAGCCTTTGCCCTGCTTCGTTTTGGTCTCCAAGGCCAAACTTGCCAGTTGTTCCTTTTATCTCTTGATTCCCTACTTTAGCATTCCAATCCCCTATAATGAGAAGAACATCCTTCTTTGGTGTCATTTCTATAAGGTGTTGTAAGTCTTCATAGAACTGGTCAATTTCAGTTTCTTCAGCACCAGTAGTTGGTGCATAAACTTGGATTACTGTTATGTTAAAAGGTCTGCCTTGGATTCGTATCGAGATCATTCTATCATTTTTGAGATTGCATCCCAGTACAGCTTTCGCCACTCTTTTGTTGACTATGAGGGCCACTCCATTTCTTTTGCGGGTTTCTTGCCCACAGTAGTAGATATGATGGTCATCCGAACTGAATTTGCCCATTCCCGTCCATTTTAGTTCACTGATGCCCAGGATGTCAATATTTATTCTTGCCATCTCATTTTTGACCACATCCAGCTTACCCAGGTTCATGGTTCTTACATTCCAGGTTCCTATGCAATATTTTTCTTTACAGCATTGGACTTTCCTTTCGCTTCCAGGCATATCCGCAACTGAGCGTCCTTTCGGCTTTAGCCCAGCCGCTTCATCAGCTCTGGATCTACTTGTACTTGTCCTCCGCTCTTCCCCAGTAGCATGTTGGATGCCTTCTGACCTGAGGGGCTCATCTTCCAGCGTCATAACTTTTATATGCCTGTTGTCTTTGTCCATGGAGTTTTCTTGGCAGGGATACTGGAGTGGCTTGCCGGTTCCTCCTCCAGGTGGATCACGTTTGGTCAAAACTCTCCACTATGACCTGTTCATCTTGGGTGCCCTGCTCGGCATAGTTCATAGGTTCTCTGAGTTCTTCAAGCCCCTTCGCCACGGCAAGGCAGTGATCCATGAAGGGGTAAGGTTGTATAACTTACCATCAATTGATGGCTATACCACGCTTTCTTGTGCCATTGCAAGCAATCATTATCCCACACATTCCAGCACATTTCCCCACCACTTTCCTTACAGCAAAAAGTCTATTAAAAGAAAAGGTGGGTTTGTTGTGCAAGAGAGCCAAATCCACTTTAATTGTGCAATGTGAATTTTCTCGTTTGCTATTGGATCCCACCTACAAGCTAGCAACGGTCTGAAAACAGACAAATCAGTTCATGTGTCCAGTGTCATGTATATACATCTCCATCTTGCATTGTAAATTAAGATGCTAATTCTATGAATGCTTATCTTTAA